AGAGATTCTCAGGGATACAAGGGGCCGCGGACCCCTTCTGTAATTACTAGTTAGAAGCAACAGTCTCAATTTATCCCTTTTACCTGTGAATCTGGAAGCTGTTGGTGGCAAAACCAACAGTAGGATATGATAAACAGGCTGCAGATAATCATTTTCATCACGCAGGGTTATCTATTATATATCCCCCAGAATAATTAATTCTTTCTTAATAATTCTCAAACTCTAAGACACAGTAGTACTTCCTTCTTTCTAAAACCTTCTAATATTGCTCACAAACTGCAAAGAAGTCCCTGGTTTTATCCCACCCTCAACTATTAAATCAATTATAAACTTTTAGTATTACAACATAGAGTTAAGCTCCAAGAACTCCTCCATCGCAAACTGACTAGCAGCTTCAAGTTCTATTCTACAGCGGTCGCTAGTTACCTGGGATAAAGTCCAATTGCAATATCCCTCAAGCTTATCCTTCCTATCCCCTAGTATATCTTCCTCTGAACTATATCTACATCTAAATTTAGAGGTATAACAGTCTATAGAGCTATCTGCCTTTCGCTTATAACTATTATCCATAATATCTTAAAGAATCTTAGGGGGGATCTCAATATTTATATTAATATCGTCCTCCTTATCTCCCTCCTTTATATTGTTTTTACTATAGTTATAAATATCTTCGAGGTGTATCGCTAACATTTTATAATAGTTTCCTCGGTTATCCAGCAAGCAATAGGGCCCTTGTTTACAATGTTTAGTCCTGTACCGATGGAACCTGTAGACTCGAGCCTACAGACCAGTATCTGCAGCTCGTTAAGCCTTTTGGGAATCTATAGCACTCCTCTTGGTCTTCTTCCGTCTATTTGCAGCTGCAGTTTCTATAGTAGCTTCCTTGTAAATAAATTCTATAGAGAAGGTTATCCTTCTCCCTTTACTAAACAGGTTACTAAGCCCCTCTAGGTACTTATCTACTATATTCCAATCAATCTCCAATATATTAAATCATTTAGTTAGACCACGCTGACAACTACGTTCGATAGATATAATAATATTCATTTCATCACAAGTATAGTCGCTACCTGGGAATTTTTTTTTATTATTTAAGAGACCTTAAGGTATACTATAAGGGTAACTTGCTAAAAATCGCTTGGGGCCAAAACGACATCGGGGTATAAGTCTGCGGAAATATATCCAGCTCTGATCTTATCACATTGGGATACCTTCCATTTAAAGTTATAGCGGATACACTCTGGGTTAGATTTATCATATTATTTATCTCTTTCCCAGTCACTGAGTCGAAGAAGTAGTAGATCGCGTTCGCCACTTAATAGCTCGGCCTGCTCGGCTCCTTAGCGGGCTGTTGGGGTCAGGGCTGGGGTTACTCTTAGGTTTACCACAGGGCCTGCTGTAGGGCTATCAAATGGGAACTTAGGTATTCCAAAGTCTAATGTGAGTTCATGACCCAGCCAGTCTAGGTTCATAGCTTCCACTGTGGCGAGTTGGCAGATGAGGGGGAGAACCACTGGAATTACTAACAGGCAGAACCGTTGGTTCCAGAACCCCGTCTACCTCTTATCCGACAGCCCATTGCCTCTACTTTCAGACTCACAGTCATCTTTTTTTGCCTGCTAATGTCTCCATTAATGGAGGTAATACATCAAGCACCTCAAATATCTACCCGTAAATAAGAACAAACCTGCATACACCAAATTTAGGACTGCTCCCGAAGGCTTGTTGTGTCTAATAATTCTAATTCATCTGCCAGCCGCACGGCTACAAGTCCCCAAGTAACACCATCTAAAATGCTCCTCGAAAACAAGAAAACGGTAGCCGATCATAACTGTAGGATATTTTACATTAGCTCGATTTAGCCTAGGTAATACTCATCCATGCATATTGCTATAAGTCACTTCGTATTCCTTGTTAAACACATATTGAGGATATATAATTAGACCCATTTATATCTCACGGTAACCGAAAATTAGCCATAGAGCGGCACACCATATTACATAATCTAAGAACATTAGGCGCCAAGTGGTCCGATCTTATCTCCCGGTCAACCGGCGAAGCACCAGAATTAGTCGCTTCCCGTCATGTCCTCGCATTCTGGGAGCATTGGTATCTCAAAGGCCATCCCCTGGCCTCCATCTTTGGAACCTAGTATATCTCTCTAAAGCGGTCGTTGCTCCTAGAATTTTTACTTACGAAGATTGATTTTTGATACACTCTAGACTACCTTCCTAAATAAGAAAACGGTGACCGTAATGAACGCTCACCTTCTGACACGGTTGGAACAACTACCGCCCGAAATAGCTTAAGCTGAGAGCAGGGGGTTTGCTCTAATTAGGTGCGTGCGCTATTTAGGCGGCCCAATAGTCAGACGGCATTGATAGGGATGACGATATTACGGCTGACCAACAAATTTGTCATCTTGTACCATTATTATGTCAGTCGCTTCCCTCACCATCGAATGATGGTGTTGTCAGGGGTGCGCTCAAAATTGAGCGTGATGTCAATATATTAGTCATGGAAAATCCACTTATGGAGCCGCATCACGTGCTTCGCTTTCGTTGATAGAAGTGGCTGTGCAAGCTGCGACGCTCTATCTCTTCACCCGTGTCCGCTGTTTATCAACACTAAACGCCAGCCCCCACGACACATCAGGCTCATGGACGGCGTTGGCATTGAAGAATTGCGAGCCCGAATATTGCAGGAGGAGAGTCGACGAGAAGCTGCGGAACGTGATGCCCAGTACGAACGTCACCAACGCGAAGATGAGCAACGGCGACGTCGAGAAACTGAGGAACGCGCAAGCGCATCCCAACCGCTACCACTCCAGCTGTCAGTGGTCACTTGACAGATCACGTGCAACGGGCGGGCAGTGTGTTATTTATCAGTATCCGAGATCGCAGACTTCCTTTCTCGAAGGCAGGTATTAATATATTGTCAACGGCGACCTAAGTGCGCCTATCATGAGATCTACAGTCGTGTATTCAGCTAGGTTAGCTTCGTAGCGATTATGCGTTATGAAGAGAGATAATTAGGTCACGCCTGTAGCTATCGCCTGTCACAATAGAAGATAGCTTGGTCGCGTAGGTTGGAAGGAGCTGTCTGTAGCTAGCCCCTGCCTACCTCTCTGGCTAGGCTTGCTCTGATATCTGTTGAAATAAGAGATATCTTCCTAACTACTGTAACCTCCTTATTACTAAGATGTCTCTGATATTACTAAAATCTCTCTATTTATAACTTTTCACTCTAGATAGTAGAATAACTCTTAAAGTATTACCTCTCTCGATGATCTTTCTAGCTAAAAATTATTCCTATGGATTTCTATAGCTATGAGACCTTTCAGGGAGGGATATAACCTATCGGACCTACTAACACCGGGCCTAACACCTTTCAAAAATCCCCCCCCCCGGGGCGCTACGGTAGTTCTTAAAAAGTTGCTACAAGGCCGTACCTAGCTGTTCGCGAAGATGGGCCCAAGGCCTGGCAGCCGAAGTGCTTAAGATTATCCGTGCACTAAGGCAATAGTATTAGTTACCCTCTCTTCTTATGCAAAAACGTTGCTTTATACTTACTGGATAGAGGGGGTCGCAGGGAAGCGTGATAGAGTTACCCCTCAAATCACAGGTAGAATAATCGCCATAGTTAAGGATATTGGCCTTATAATACTAGCAGCGCTTAAGTAAGTGCCTATACAGAATAAAGTATTGGAAAATCTTACCCCAGTTGGTAATATATTGGCTCGCTTAGTTTTCTTTCCTTTGTTTCCGCTGACTTTACAGACCGGAGCTTTGACAGGAGTCTTAGCCTTATTTGCAGACTTTGGGGCGTTAGGCTTAGCTTTTGTAAGAGCTTTAGGGTTTCCAGGCGTTTTGGCCTTTGCAGGAGCCTTAGCCTTTGCAGGAGAAGCCCTGACTTTTAGGACAGATGCTCTCTTAGCGCTAGCAGCCCGGCGACTTCTTATAATAGCTCTGCCTGGCCTAGAAGATTGTTCGAGGGCGAAGGTTCCTGCGTATAGGAGAATAAGCGAGGCACTGATAAAGACCGGAAGCTGTATTTTAAAAGTCGAGAGTAATATAAGCGGTTAGGGCTAGTGTTGACAGAAAGAAATAAGAACTTAACAGAATATTTGATCACGGAATAATAAGGTAATTGAATTAGGTAATAGCGATGGAATTGAGATAATTATCAGAATCTAGCAGAAAACAGGCTTTAAATAAGGAATATATGAGGCTGATATCCTACTAGATCAGGCATTCGAGCGAACACCAAATTTCTATAGTCTATTAATACACCTCCTCGTGGGGGCTAACGATACACTGGCGGGGTATATATAGCACGCTCTGCCTCGTTTAGGGAGTATGAAGCGAACATCGGAAATTAAATGCTCTCGCTCAGTTTGTCTAAGAATCTGCCAGTATTTAACACCTGGTTATAAACTGATTCCAGTAAGCTTGTGAGCTAGAATACTAGAACCCGGCCTTCTCGTTCTTCCTATAAATTCTGCTCGACTTAGATGCTTCTTATACGTAATTACACAAAGATGTCTTCTAGACTACCAGCTGTCCTTTCGTGGCCTAGTAAAACCCGCTCTGTTGGCTCCATCTAGCTGTTGGCTGTACCCTAGAATGAGGCACTAGGTGAAACTAAACCCTACCAGCTCCCTCTTTTGAAGTAGTCTCTTACGAGAATGGAAAAAGTGGAGAAACCAGATGTAACACGAGTTGTCATAACCCCGCTCCGTCGTGCCTCAAGGTCTGCCTAACCAAGCCAACGTGTGCAAGTTGCCACCACCACCATCATCAAAATTCACAGTACTATTGCTCGGCACAAGGAAAATTATGGAAGACATTTGGGCTCCTTCAAACTCTTTGACGGACTTGCATTCCGTCTATAATGAGCTACAACGGGTCGATGCCTGGGAACGAAATGTCCTTAGCACCCTCAATGAGGACCAAGTGTCTGACGATGACCAAGATAGCCCATCAAGATTCACCCTATATCAGACACCTTCCGAGGGCTGCAGCCAATCTCAAGACTCGCATCTCGTTGTTTTGCGCCGCATTGATGAACAGCGCCGAGCGCTTCGATCTCGAGCCATGGATCTCTCTCGCCCTCACCTGCGAGGTATAAAGATCACCCAACTCCCCCAAGAGCTTTTGACTTGGATCTTTAGCCTCTTCCAGCATTCAGCGTTGAATCAAAATCGAATTAGGGTGGAAGATGTTGGCAGGAAATTCGCCAAGAGCGACTATGAGACATTGAAGAATCTTCGACTCGTGTGCCATCTCTTCGATCAAATTGCCACCCCGTTTCTACTCCCAGTCATCCGTGTGCAGCTGAATCAATCATCCCTTGAGCGCGTGCAGTCCATCTCAAGAAACCCTCGTCTTAAATCCGGTATACGCGGCATCCAGCTCTTTATCGGATGTCGCTTCAAGATACATGCGTCGTCCAAGTCCGAGTTCTTCACTCACCAGCAGCGCATTGCTCGTCAATTATTCGACTATAATGCTTTAATGTACCACAATGCAGCGCACCGGGCCCAACAGAGGAACTCGGACGGACCTGCTGATGTTCAGGGATGGGGCGAAGAGCGTCTTCTAATGCTTGACAGGATCCGTGCTTGCGTCGTCGCATGCGATCGCTTTCTCGGCACGAGTCCCCTCCCTGCCCTGGGCAGATTGGATATCCCACACTCGGAGTTCCCACCAAGATTGAAGGAGCAAGTAGACGAGAGTCTCATTGATGAGTGTGAGGAGATTCTTCACGGTGCTTACGAGTACAACAAGGCGGAATATTTGAGGGACTGGCCGGTAGTGTCAGAAAAGCAGCTTTCAAACGCTATTGCACAACTCATTTCTCCCCAAAATCTGCCCATCTCTCTCAGCATTGTGGAAATCCCCCCTTTCGTGCAATATTTTGATTCATTTCTGGATACTCAAAAAGCTTTCAACTGCTTAACACGGCCACTAGGATTATCGGAAATTGGAAAACTCAGGGGCAAGCCTATTAGAGATGAAATAGCTGCCTATACCAGGGTGTTTTGGGATCTTCCCATCGCCATCTATCAGGCAGGCAGCCTCTTGCAAGGTTTTGAGCTCAAGGGGCCGACAGTGAGTCAAAGATATAGCATGATATGCCCCGAAGAGATGTCCTGCACGCCGGAAAAGCCTGTGTGGAATCAGTTGCATATAGTGTGCCAAGACCTGCAGACTGTTATTATCAAAGGCCTGAGTTTCAACTATTGGTTGGACGACAGAGCTCAACTCGTTGGCGATAACGAGGAGCAATCTGACCAAGCCCCACATACCGGGCTCGAATGCTCAATTGGGAAGTATGTCGGCTCTATGCTCTCCGGCCGGCGCCTTGAAAAAGTAGAGCTCGATATGTCCCTGCGAGGGAGTCGGCCAAATACCTCCCAGAAGGAGAGATGCCCGCTTGGTTATGTTCTCAGCCGCGCGAGTTGGCCACGAGCCAGGGCGGTTTCTTTGAAAAGCGTCATCATGACTCAAAGAAAAATGGAATCGTTCTGTGGTAGCATAAACCCAGATGTGGAGGAACTCAATCTGTCAGACATCCTACTCAGTCAAGGAAGCTGGGTTCCAGTGCTCGACTTGCTTCGGGAGTTATTGAAACAAAGATGCATGGAGGGAAAGTGTCGAGTGCGGCTGATACACCTAGCAGGGGGCGAAGTTGGGCAGCTGGCAAATGGCATTCTGAGCGCCTCTGTCGTGGACGGCATGACGCCGTTAGAGGCTTCTGCGGGCGTTATGGAGTTGTTTTCTAAGTATATTAAAGGCGACGAGGTTGGCCAGAACCCGGCAATTGCAGGAAGAATGATTTAAGATTTGATTTTCTTATGTATGTAGCACTTCTTCAAAGGTCAATTCTTATATCTTCGCGCTCGTTCCCGGAGAGCGAAGAGTCGTCGGTCCCTCCACCCTCGTCGTCAAGCTCGTCACCGTCCTTGGCGAGCAAAGTAGTATCGGAGTGTGCGTCGAGATGGATGGGCTCATAGCCCTCTGGCGGTCTGCGGACGGGACGACCAGTGGCCTCGGCATCGCGGGTCTCGGACCAGGGTCGTTCAAGGCGGCCGGCCGATCTTGGTACCGGGACCCGGGCGCGGGCGACAGATATTACGAACCGCGGGGCAGAAAGGATAGGCCACCGAGGAGAACCGGCAGAGCTGATCTCCCGTCACATTCTCAAACCGCAAGGTGGAGGGCGTCATCGCTCCAACCAACCCGTACCCTTTGTCAGATTCATCTCACGAGTTTTTCCGCTGCCTGGGAGGAAAGGATTGCCTGCTGATCCATGCCGGCCCTTGTCATCCTAAATGGTTAGGACTCTTGGTCTCTTGCACATTGACGTCCCGGATCCCGGACTAGGCGGAAGGTCACTGGTACAACCCGTCCCCCATTTTGTTGCCAGCCTGGGTCTACTTTGCGGTAACCACCTTACTGCAACAAATTGGAGGCTGACGCAAGTATAATCAATCAATATCCTCTGGCGCCGGATACTTGCTTGCGCATTTCCGTCTAGACCTATAGCTTACGACCACAGAAACAATTACTGCAAACCTGACCCCAGCCACGATACCTTTGGACTACGCAATATGAGGTATGGCACTACATACCCGGGACACGCTAACCCCAAGGGTCACCGCGGGCTGCTGGGCGACCAACTAGACTAGTAAGTTGGTTCTATCTAGCAGTCAGTCGTCGCTCAAAGCGATCACACGGCCACGGCAACAATCCGGTCAGATCACCATTCGACAGATCTACGAACATATCGAACGACTAAAAAAGGGATGCAACAAGGTCAGGATGATATGGATACCGTCCCGGGACGATGACCTCGCCATTGGCCGCAGGGCGAAGAGACAAGCGCAGAAGGCAACTGGAGCAGAACGCGCACTACAACCGCTGCCGTACCAGGCTCGCTCCACTCGGGTCAGGCTAGCAACGGCGCAGTTGCACGAGCAACGAAGCCTGCCCAACAGAGTGGGCGGCTACTCCAGGCGGGTCGACCGAGCGCTGCCGGGCTGAGGGGGGTGGGCGGTTGACTAGGGTCGCAACTTAGCTACAGAAGGGAACTGGTTATAAAGCCGGTTCCAGAGCGGTCCTGACTAAGCGGCACGCTCTGCTCCTGGCTTCCAGCCAGTGACTGCCAGTTAGGGGTATTTAGTATACCAACAATAATAATAATAATAATCCCCCGCCCCCGACACGCCGGTTACTTTGTCAGTCCCTTGCAGCTTTTCCTGCAACTTCAAAGTAGGTTTTGTAGGTCTCGAGGACCGACGCGTCGCGGCGACAAAATCCCACTCTGGACCAGGATGTCGTTAGTGATCGTATCCATTTCGCGACGCAGCGCGCTCACGGTCACCACGGTTTCTGCGTCCCCGCTGAAGATTGTAGACATTATAAAGATTGAAATAGGTACATTAAAATAATGACCAGTCAGCCACAGGATTTCCAATTACTGCCCTCCTATTATCCTATTTGTGCCCTAATAGCTAAAATAGTAGGCTCTAACCTCTGAAGCATAAACACCTTTAGAGAGTCAGAAAGCTAATTAAGTTCCATCTGCCCGAAGGCATCAACTAACTGCTCCTATGAGATCCCAGGGCCATACATCAATGGTAATACCAATCGGGCATCAAAGATTGCGCGGTATGGAAAGCTATATATACAGCGATGGGTGATTTCAGCTGCTTTCGTTCCCAAAATATCAGATAAAAAGATATCATTCTCCGAATAAGCCCTAATCTGGGATTCCAACTCTCGTAAATATACAGCAACAACCTTCCTGAAATCGATTGTATCTTGATTTTCCTCGGGAGATAGACCAGGAAAAGTAATAAATTCCGGAGAGACAGCTAGGCGCTCTAGGGGAACAGTTTGAGCACTATCCCAGTCAATAATACCAGTAATATTATACTCTTCATCGAAAAGGATATTTCCATAATGGAGGTCAGGGTAGCACAGGGGAAATAGGCCATAGACTCTATCCTCGGCGATTATATATGATATAGCAGCCTTAAGAATCCAACAAGCTGATATCCATTGCTTATCGCCAACGTGCTGGGCCATGACCAGCCTATTTTCATGTTGCCTTTCATTATAAAACCATTCGAGGGATATTGATAGTTGCCGACATGCTTCAGGATCAACAGGAATAATCTCAGGCGACTGATCGCAATTTTGACCACAGGATATTCAACCAAGGGTATCAAACGACAAGTTTTCCAATTGAAATAATATCTCGGCGAACTGAGATGCAACTTTGGGCTGGAAATAGGGTGGGATGGTCTTTGCTAATGGCCCTCCAAGAGTTTGGCCTGGAAGTACTTCCATGAGGATATATTAGAACCCAAATTCATTTCGTGATGAAGTAGAAAATGCAAATACACATGGGACTCACCGCAACGCACCGAAGCTTTCAAAGCACATGCAAGGGAGAAGGAGGAGGCAGACACATATAAGCTTGCAGAAGAATCAACTGCCGAGCTTGAAGTCATACAGAACAACGCCACGAGATGGAACTCGACTTACATGATGATTGAGCGTGCCCTAGTCAAGCAATCCGAGCTCAACAGCTTCATTCAGGAGTTAGGGCTAGAAGCAGACGCCTTAAGAAGGGTTCCTACGGCTGACATTCTGACGTCTGATGACTGGAAGGTCCTGAGGGAAGTTAGTTATATCTTGGAGCCAGTCTACAACATGACGATGAGAACACAGGGATAGGGTACAAGCGGGGGTCACGGTCGGCTCTGGGAAGTCATGACGGGAATGGAGTTTGTACTAGAACACCTCGAAGACTGGAAGGTCCTCTACGAGGATGAAACTGTTGATCCGGCTGCGGAAGAAAGGTGTTCAACCCAGGGGGAGGAGGCTGGACCAATACTTTCGCGGCCACCAACAGTCGGACAAATCCGAGAGCGACCCTCACGACAGTCACGGCTACCTTCACGACTTCAAGGATACGAAATTATACCGTTGCGCCGCCGCCGTGAAATGACTCTCCCAGCTCCACCACCCGCCAGCTCACAGTTTAATGAAGATGCGCTTCCTGTACATTCCCGAGGAGACTACCTGCAGGACGATGCTCGTTCGGTGAGCAATATTGCCAGTATGGAGGGCCAGGAGCGCGCTAGCATCAGGGCAAGTATAAGTAATGCTTGGGTTAAGCTGAACGAGTACTATACTCTCCTCGGACGGTCGCCTCTGTTTGCAGCTTCTGTCGTTCTGAATCCGGACCTTGGACTACGGTGGCTGGAGACCAATTGGACTTCCCCAGAACAGCTGCAATGGCTTCGAGATGCAAAGGACGGCATTAAAGTCTATTTTGAACGTTGGTATTCGAAAAATGACGATGGTGTCTCTGAGAGTGTCTTCCTCGCGCCCTCATTGACGCCCCGGCCTGAGCAAAGTAGGTTTGAGCAGTGGATAAAAAGCCGGCAGCCTAAGCTCTCGGCAACAGGCAGTGAGCTCGAACGTTATTATAGGCTCGAACCACAACAGGTAGATGACCCCATTCGTTGGTGGATCGACCATAGCAATTCTTTTCCACGTCTGAGTAGGTTTGCGCTGGACGTTCTTGCCATTCCGGCCATGTCAACTGACTGCGAGAGGGCATTCAGTCTTGCGAAGCTTACGGTTAGCTCACAGCGACATTCTCTGCTTGGATCGAGCATTGAGTCGATCCAGCTACTGAAGAACTGGGTCAGGGGAGGGTGTGTTACTCTTGGAGGCCTATGCTCGAGTAATAAGGCCAGTTAGAACTCGAGGGTAGGATCGCGAGGCCGAGGGGGAGCTTCACATGAGATACTATACATCAGATATCAATCAATCAATCAGATCAGATCAGATTCGAATGGTCAACTATCAGTTCAGAACAGATTTGGGTCCTAATCTGATTTGATTGATCTGACGGCAGCCCTGTTGAAGAGGCTACTGAGCTACCACAACTGTGGGTTCCAAAGACCCCAAATAACCAAACTGAGGCTACTTCGCAGACTAATTATATCAAAAGGCGAATAAGCCGCCACCAAGGAAGCTCTCCAACGTCAATTTTGGCTGCTATGGATCAATTTTCGAAGGGTATATGCGGAACTATGCACAAGATGGCCCTCTTGAAAGCGGAGAACCAGCTACTTCGAGAGGCAAATGCAATACTAAGCAAGCGCCGTAGAGCTAAGAGAACGCGTCTACGCCAAGGTGGCAGCATGACTATTGATGAGGGACAAGCTCTTCGGGACCAGAATGATGTGGATGAGCAGATAAAACAAGAAGATCGCCAGACGAGAGGTCGCAAACCGAGGGATGAGAGGAAGGCTCGGCGGTGTGGCGTGTGCGGAAAGTCCGGTCATAATGCGCGAACTTGTCAGATTAATGTTGAGATATCTAATGAAGAGAATAGCATTTAAAACTGATCGATTTCCTTTATTGTGGTTGCTTTTTTGCAACCTCTTTGCGAGAAGGTCGGTTTGGGTGTCCAGCTCGCTATGCTGTCCAGCTCGCTATGCACCCACGTTATATATAATATTAAGTATAGCTATCTACTATTATACTAGCTTAATTTAAGCTTTAAATAACTTATAGAATAGTATTTATAGATATAATTTAGTTCTATAGCTAATAATAATTATCTTATAAGTATAATAGCTAAGAATTTAAAAATCTAGTAAATAAGTAAAATACTCTATTAATAAAAAGCTTCTATATAGAATCTTAAAATACTAACCCTCTAGTAGAATATTTATTACTTCTTTATACTCTCTTTATACTTCTTCTATAATTTACTTTACTTTATTCAGTTTAATAAATATAAATATAGCTACTATAGCTACTATATCTTATACTATACTCTGATTTATTAGTATATATATATCTCCCCTATTACCTAGTAAATATCTAAATTTAGAGTTATAATAAGATTAAATATAGCTCTATATATAAATACTATAAATAAAGAGGAAATAAATATATAATTAGTATTATATACTTTAGATTAGTATACCTACTGAATTTCAGACTTACTAGATCTCTAATTATTAGAAAATAGCTAATTAATACCTGCTCTATAGATTAATTAATAGTTACTCTATATTATACTAGTATATTTTAGTTTCCTACCTAAATTTAATTAATATCTACTAGATATCGCTGTATATAGTCTCAGGGAGACTGCTTCTCTGCATCGCTCAACTGGACATTAACAATCTCTTCAGCCGCACAAGTATCCCTAAATCGTTGTATCGTGTTGCGTAGGGAAGAATCAGCACCGTGGCGGATGCCAGAAACCACTTGTGGATCTGCTCAAACTCTGGCTAGATATGATACGCATCAATGCAGAGGCCAAAGTTCACTCGGTTGACGAGGTTTACCACACGAAGAGATTCCTCCCAATCAGCCATATGGAGGCCCCAGGCCAGAGCCTGGAGCTCAGAGATGATGAGGGCCTCGTCGCCCCCTTGCTCCCGGTGCAAAGTTGCTTGGGACTGAGAGAATGGTACAACCAAATTCGCGAACAACGTTCACCCACTCAAGCGCAGTGGCAAGCCGGCCTTCCAAAGGGCTTAGGATACCATCAAAATGTTCAAAGGGGTTCAACGCAAACGTCTGGATGCCTGCCGCCTCGATAAGAATACTAGCTTGTTGGCCGCGGCGATTCGTGATAGTGACATTCAATGTGCTGATTTGTCTAAATCTTTCATATTTAGCTCAAAGCCTTGGATACCGGCAATTTTTGCAGCTTTAACCTTCTCCTCGAGGGTATAAAACAAGTGCCATCCCATCCAGATTGTGCAGGTATCCAATTTTTGATACATTTTCGCTCAAATGAACGCAAATATTGATATAATGCTGTACATGAAATGCGTACTGATTTTTGTACAATACCTCTCGGATTAATCCAATCTTAAGTTGAAGAAAAATCCATGTAGATTGTCATGTGCTTAGTAGGATAATGAGAGGTAAACACAATATCCGACCGAGCGGAAAGCTTGGAGTCTGTAGCGAATCCGGGACAAGTTTCACCCAAGGGCCCAACCATGCTCACACCAATGAACAATGGTTATGTCTCCGGATAGGCAGCGCGAGGAACCGAATTCTGCGTCCCCCAACTGAAGCTATAGCGGAGTTACAGAGGGTGGACAAAAGTCATACTATATAACTCATAAAAACACATCTTCTCTCCTATACATGAAATTTAACCTCCTTCTTTTTTTAATAATTTAATAATAATAATTTCTAATATCTTTAAAACTATAAATATATATTATTACTATATTATTACTATACTAATAAAAAGACTGAATTCCTCCCTTGATTTTCCTATACTATTCTACTAAAACTATATAGTTAGCTAAGAGATTTAGATAGACAAAGTATTAGATCTATACCTATCTACTTCCCCGTATAACTACTCAGCTACTTTCACATATAATAATTTAGATATTAAACATATTATAAGGGGCTAAGGTAACTAATAATAGTCCCTTTAAAGGGCCTATTATATATCGGTCCGTATCCTCTAGATTAATAAGGTAGCTATGGTAGCAAAGATAACAGCGCTGAACCCAGCACGCTTAGTAGTAGCACCAGCTGGAACACCTGATTTGGTAGGAGCTGGAGCCGGAACTGGAGGGCGAGATGGATTGTTGGGAGCTGGAGCTAGGGCAGGACCAGAACCAGGTGCTAGAGCAGAGGACGGTGCTGGAGCAGGACCCGGAGCACCTGGTCCTGGTCCTGGTCCTGGTCCTGCTCCTGGCCCTGCTCCTAGTCCTGCTACTGGTACTGCTCCTGCTCCTGCTCCTAAGCCTGCTACTGGTCCTCCTGCGACTGCTCCTACTCCTGCTCCTAAGCCTGCTCCTGCTCCTCCTGCTCCTGTACCAGGTCCTGGTCCTGCGACTGCTCCTAAGCCTGCTCCTGCTCCTCCTGGTGCTGGTGCTGGTGCTGGTGCTGGTGCTGGTGCTGGTGCTGGTGCTGGTGCTGGTTGTGGTCTTGCTCCTGCGACTGCTCCTCCTGGTTGTGGTACTGGTTGTGGCGCTGGTTGTAGTGCTGGTACTGGTCCTTCTCCTACTACTGGTGCTGGTGCTGGTTGTGGTCTTGCTCCTGCTCCTGCTCCTCCTGGTTGTGGTGCTGGTTGTGGTACTGGTGCTTGTGCTCGTTGTGGTGCTGGTGCTGGTGCTGTTATAGCTCCGGCTCCGGCACTATCCTTTGCTTTATCAAGAGCCGGGCCATGTCCTAGAGCCAAGGCAGAGGATGGTTCTTGAGCTAGAGACTGAGATGATAGCTTTACTGGCAGAGTGCTTTTATAGGCTACGGAAGAGACTATACTGCTGGCTGGAGGAGTAGTAATGGATTTGGTAGGGAGATTAACCGAGGACTTGGGAGAGGGAACGACTGTGGAGTTAGGAGGCGGCTTGGAGTGGTAGAGTGGCTCAGGGTGAGTTGGCTTTGGGTGGTAGGGTGAGACCTAAGGAGTTGGCTTCGGGTGATAAGTTGGATGTGGGCGCCATGAATGTCCAGTGCTATAAGGCTAGCTTGGGCTATCCTAAGAAGGGACAGGATAAGGGGGATAACTACCCGGACTACCGCTGGGAGGACTGCCGGGATTATTACCAGGAGGACTACTAGGACTGTGAGGTAAAGCTATGGCTATGGAGATGAGGAGTGCTAGTGGTATAATAAACTCGGTATATTATATCTTAGGAGTAACTGTAGCGAGTAGACCGATCTGTTTTACCTGGACTAGTAAGAGTTAGCTAAGTTAGGGGGATAGGAGTAAGGCTCGGCTTTTGTAAAAGGCTAAAGTAATTTAATAAGCTTGGTAAAGAATTAGGACTGGGGGGGGTAGCTATAAACCCCTTCTTAAGTAAGGGGATATTAAAGGGGTATTAGTAGGTAGCTTTTAAAGATTAAGCTAGTGAACTAAGAAGCTTCTGTCTCTATAACTAGGCGAGGTAAATTTCAGGATATAGTAGGGAATAAAGTTAAATACGGAATAACTTTAGATTAAATTTTTCCTTCGGTAGGTCTAAAGTTAAAGAATACCTATTAATATGATAAAGAACTATAACTTTAAGTATATCCTTTATAACTAGAACCTTAGTAAGATCAGCTATAATAAAGATTACCTGTAGAGGATAGAGCTGGTCAGAGGAAATATAATAATATAAGGAATAAGCTTTAGTAATTAACTATCCTGGATAAAATAAGAGTATACTATATAGATAGTAATATAAGCTATACTATTAAATAAGAAGGATTATAGTTTCTATAGAGAAAATAAGGTTAAGACTTCTTATTAAGAATAAGATAATTAGTACTCTGTATACTATCTAACTTAAACCGGATAGAAACTAAGTATTAGAATTCTTAAGTATAAGATTTTTTATCAGGAGAACTACTTCTTTAGTTTTATATATAGAATAATTAGCTTCTTAGCTAGATAAATAAGGAAAGGATATCGGGATATTATTAAGTCTAAAAGATTAATATACCTTTATACTGGATTAGTAGGAGATAGAGAGAAGGGCTAGTATAAGGTAAACTGGAGAGAGAAGTAAAAATACTCTATATTTTATTTAATTAGTTAAAAAGAGGAATAATTTACTAGGATATAGAAGGACTAGAGGGTTAAGACTATCTGTTAGAACTAAATAGCCTCTAAAAGCTTAATAGAATCTCCAGCTAGAGTTATTATAGCTTATAATAATAATTATAGGGAGCAGTTAATTATTAGGCTAAATTAGGACTGGAATAGAGTACTGGTATAATAAGTTAAGATAAACTTAAAGAAGGCAGTATCTATATAGTACCGGAATATACTTATAGACTATTAAGTATAGGAATTAACTATATCCTATATATCTATCTCTAATAAAATAAATATATAACCTCTATAAACTAAAACTCTATAAACCTAATTCTTTATATAAGTATTCTCTTAAGAATTATCCTTATTTATATAAAGGTATTAGTACTTTAAGTACTTAGAAATAAGATAAAAAGAATTACTAATATTATTACCTAACTATATCTATAATTTTAATCTACTAATTACTATATAGAGCTATATACCCTATAGCTCCTGGGGCCTTAGGGGTATTACTGAGATACTGGGGAATAAGTAGCTATCTAAGCTACCCTGTACCTAATCTATCAGAAGTCTTATATATTTAATGCCCTTTTACTTCTATATATAGGCAGTAATAATCTAAGAATAGATTATACCCAGAATAAGAAGATAGTAGGTTCTACTTTTCTTAATAGTACTATTAGTAGTTATATAGGTAGCTATTAAATCGCTTTATATAATCTGTATTTACTTTACTTAGATATTATCCTATTATATATATAAGGGGAAACTATAATAGACTTTATCTGCTTAAGTATACTATTATTAGAAATATATTAGCCTGATTATTATCTTCTGTTATACCAGAGAATTAGGTAGTTATAATACCTTTTCTGGACTGGAAAAAGCCAGAGTATAGTATTCCACCTTGTAATACCTCAGAGTTATCCTGCTAGTAATACCCTTGCTATAGCTACCTATGGTATACCAACTGGTTTATTCTCTATAGGTAATAGAGTATTCTCTATAAAATAGGATAAGTATTAGTACTACTAAATTGAAATAATAGAAGCAGGGTACTAAATAAGGCCTCCTCTAATTATAAAGGTGGCGAGGAATATAGGTAGAGTTTAAGGTAGTCTCTCTTACCTGTATAAGCAGAGAGAAGAAGAAGAGGAAGAGAAGAGAAGATAGCGGGCCCAGGATAAAAGATGGTTTACAACTGGAAGTATAAAGTTAAAAAATTTCCTGCAGATACTACCTACTATATGGCTGTATACCTGCCTTAGACCTGCCTCGGATCTGTATTTTTATCTACCTCCTCCCCTCTCTAAGGAAAAGAAATTCCTAAGCTGGGATAATTATATTTATACTGGCCAGGTAGTAACTACTTTATCATACTTATACTTAATACCTATATCTGTATCTAGACTAAATTAACTACTTTAGCAGATATAGATCTTATAACTCTAATCTCGAAGCCTATTGCTAGAACGGGAAAAAGCCTTACTAGATTATCTTAGATAGGATCTGCTGCTAGAATTTGTAATATTTTCTAGAAGCTGCTGGCACCGGCACCACATGAACCAGCAGCCTCTTCTTTTCAGGGATGTCAACTCCTAACCAAACTATGCCTTGCTAACCCTCATGTCCCAGCTGGCTATGACCCCTGACTACGGCTAACTTGTATTTCTGTTGTTATATATCTAATATATATAGAGAAGCAGCTTCCTATATTGCTGCTAGTTAGTCAGCTCCTCGCTCGAGAGTATTAGATCCGAAGATAATAGCCTGCTCTGATTAATTACTAGCTTATTAAGATTTAAATCTAGAAATTAGTTATCTAGTTTTACTAATAATAAGTATAAATTCTAATATAGTAAACTATAGAGATACTATATTAGAATTAGAAAAAAGAACTCTTAAGTTATATTAAGTTATTAAAATAGAGATTTCTAATTAATTTTATCAAATCTTTTACTTTATAATTCTAATTATTAAACTACTAAGTTCTTTAGAAGCTAAAAACTATTTTTCTTTATTAGTAATATATTAGAGAAAAGTTTAATATTAAACTATTTACTAGTAATATATTATACTTTAGTTATAAATTAGTTTATATTTATATTATATAATATATTTATTTATTAAAACTCTAATTTAAATATAACTAATATCTTAGGATATAGTAGTATATAATTTCTAAGCTTAAGTTTAGAAGTATTTAAAGAGATACTTTAGCTATAAGTTCTTATTCTTCTAGTTAGTCTAGTAAATTACTATTAATTAACTTTCTAATTAATTACTCTCTATTAGATTCTTACTATAAGAGTTTTTTCTTTTTATCTCTTTACTATATCTACTTCCTTCTAATAAATAGATCTACTTTTAAATTTTCTTATTATACTTAATATCTATTCTTTCTCTTATTTATTATATTAGGATAAAAATTAATTCTACTATCTATATAATCTCTCTCTAAGATATATAATTACTATTTAATTAATCTAGTTATTAACTATAGCAGCAGGTATATACTATTTTTTTTTAATTAATAAGAGAATAGTATATATACTATCTAATCCCTCTAGCTATAAATACTACTAATTAGTTTTATATATTTAGTACTATACTTTATATAGTACCTACTTAGTTTTAAATAGCTTAAAAACTAGTCTGAATTAGTCTTAGCCTTATACCTCATACAGGAGATCAGTATATCAGTATATTTTTAATAATAGAAAAGACGAACCTCCTAATTGTAAACGGTACGGCAGACGCCGCACAGAACACCTTAATGTTAATATATTGCCTCCCTTAGACCCCGGCTTAGGTCAGTATATCACACTTGTTTAGTACACCTGGTAATAGTTTTTCAACCTTGCATTGCTCATCAGTAATAAGGTTGGAGTCTTGGAAGATTGTTTATTATCCTCGGATGTTCACCATTTCACATCGATACTCTTATAAATCTCCTTCAAATATTCCCTCGCTAGTGGCGTTACGGGCGTCTCAAGCCTCATCTTATTCATAATATACGAGATGGTGATCTTCCTCTCGAAGTCCAAGATGCATAATGATCCGCCCCAACCACCCCAAAGCGCAACCCGACCAGGAGGCAGCCAGTCATCGACTGCCGTCTCACCCTCTCCGCGGAGTGCTAGACCGAGGCCCCAGCGGATATACAGGCCGTTGAATCCATCAACGCCACGAGTCTGCTCCTGGAAGATGGCATCCGCCGTCTCCTTCGAAAGGACGTGCGGCTCGGCGCCACGGCCGGCAAGTGTAACCTTAGACAAGAGACGGACACAGGCTGCGGCGTTGGCATGCCCATTTGCACCACCAATGTCAGACCGTCTCCATAACGCTGTCTGCGCGAATTCTGGGTTTGGGACGGGGTTGAAGATCTTGGCGGGGAGGGAGTCTGGTGGAATCGGTGGCAGATCGATGCCAGGCGGGGGTATCAGCTCCGAAGTGCGAGGCCAGTCCTCCTCCTTGCAGCCAATTTGCACATCTGCCCCAGTGGGACCGGCGAGCTCGTTGGCAACAAACTCCTTCAGCCCGAGCCCGGTGACGCGCCGCACGACCTCGCCGATTAGATGCCCGTACACCCAGCAGTGATAAGTGGATATGGAGCCGGGCTCCCAGAATGGGGCCTGGGCCGCCAGAGCCGCCGTTGACTTGGGCACGTCGCACATATCCTCGTACGTCATGGGCTTATCCCAGCCCGCAACGCCAGAGCTGTGGGATAGGAGGTGCCCGATCTCAACATTCTCCTTGCCGTTGGCTGCGAACTCGGGCCAGAACTTGGCGACCTTGTCCGTGAACGAGACCAGGCCGCGATCCACGAGTTTGAGCATGGCTAGCGCCGATACGATCTTGGTACACGAGAACATGTTGACGATGGTATTTTCGGTCCAAGGCCTCGTCCGCGCATTGTCGGCATATCCTCCGAATAGGTTGATCACGTCCTTGCCATCGAAATTGACTGCCAGCGACGCGCCATTTTCCTCGCCGGAGACGATGTATTTGGAGAAGGCATCGCGGACACCTTGGAACTGGGGATCGCAGCTCCCATTAACTTGCGCCATTGTGATTCGGGCTCACTAGGTAGAATCGACGTGGTATCAGATCCAGGAAGTATTAGATCCAGGCAGTATTCCGGAATATGGAGGTCGAGAAACGCGAGGGCCACTGAAGAATAAATATCCCCGCAGTGCGATATTATATCGCTCGCTTCCACCCACGCCCTGGCCAGCCCTCGGCCCACTGAGGACGATGGTAAGCTCCTGGAATTTCGAAGGGTTTGCATCCCCTGTCAAATCGCTCGCAACAGGCGGGTTAGCAATCAGCTGCTAACTGCACATGAGTGTTAACTGGGGTGTTGAGAAGTACCTAGCACCGAACAGGGATTGAAATGAATTGCCGACTACGGTCTGCAAATGTCGCTGGTCGCCGATCCTCGCGACTCTCCTGGCCACCCCCGCAGTGTGGTGGTCCAGGCTGAAGGACGTGAGCAAGCATCTGACAATAACACCAGAGGAGACCTCAGGAGGGGGGTTGGATCAGGGGATAAAGAGGGCCAAGGAAAAGAAGCTGACGCGTCTGGCCGAAACTTGCCCAGAGGGTGTGAAGATTGAGCGTAATTTTTACTCAACTGCAGTGAAGATCCTTGAAAATGCAACCCTTTGTTATTAGGTCTGACCAACGACTAACCGGTCGTCCCACTAGCGATTAGTTGCTCGCGCCAACAGCTGGTGTGCCCCTCTGCTGCACGCGCATGGACATGGGTGGTGATGTTAGGGTCGGAGAGAGAGGGGCCAAGACGATTTGTATGATGTGTCGTATGGATTCCCCATGACAAGCTTCAGCCGTATGAGCTTGATCGAGAGCGCGAGGGGCGACTCACAAGCAAGGCGAGGATTTTGACCCTGATTCCCTTGGCCTGGCTTTGCAAACTCAGTTCCAATGTGGGACGATGCTCGGGGAGACGGCCCGATGCTAGGGAAGTATGAAATATGCAGGGGAATATTGGATCCGGGGCCAGGTGATGCTGCTACCCGCGACCCAAACACACAGCCGGCAAGACGAGGGACCGACTACGTACCCAGTTCTTGCTTCCGGGCTGAAGATCCCATACCAAGTGCCCTATTAGGCGTTGGTTCAAAGTCCGTCGAAAAAGGGAGAGGGAAACCCCACCTCGTGGAGCTCGTTCGCCTCGACGATACCAGGATTCTATATTGCTGTGCGCGAGAACCAACTGCGAGTGGTTGATTAGCACTGCAGGTGGTCCCCTTGCCCATCCCTCTTTCTTACGAGTATAGAACACCCGTCCTGGGAATCAGCAGTCGTCAAGCTGTCCTGACACATCTACCATGACGTCCAGATCAATCGCCTCTTCCTCGGGGTCCTCCTCGCTTTTGTCGCAGAAGAAGATGAACACGCCGCCCAGCTTCGTCAACGAAGCTCAGCGAACCCTCCTTTACTTCCGAGCTCTGGATGCGGACTCTCCCGACTCCATTCTCGGAGACGTCTACGCCAAACAGCTCGTCAATAAGATCCGCCTGGATATCGTCGACACGATGGGCCAGGATGTACGCTACGTGAGCTTCTGGTGTCTTCGTGCCAAAAGGATCGACACGTGGTGCCGGGATTTTCTCGCCGAGAATCCAGAGTGCACTGTCGTGAACCTGAGCTGTGGGCTCGACACCCGGATACAACGTCTGGAACCGCCCCGGTCTGTCCGATGGATTGATGTCGACCACACGGATGTCATCGACTTTCGGAAACGCGTATTCCCCACGCCTAACGGCGATTACAGCGCCGTGGCTGTGGATATCGCGGACAACGACACCTCGTGGATTTACGCCCTCCCCAACAGAAGACCGACCCTTGTCATCGCCGAGAGTAACATGTTCTATCTGAGGCCAGAGGTCGCCAAGGGCATTTTCTACACCATTGCAGAGCATTTTACCCATGGTCAGATTGTCTTTGACGTCCTCGGGTCTCTCTGCGCTAGCCTCATCAATATGAAGATGGCTACTGTCCAGAAGAAGACGGGCATGAAGATTCTCTGGCCTGTCAATGACCCCCAAGTGATGACACGCATTCACCCCAAGATTAGATTCATAGATGAGTTGAGGTACACTGACGATATGCCACCCTGGTTTGGCGAGTTTAAGACCAAGATCCTCAAGCTACTACCTGGCTACCGTAACCTTGGCAGAGTCATCCTGTTGGGTTTCGAGGAGCAGAACCGGGGCTTGGAGAGCCGCGAGATGTCGTTTGTAGACACATCGTCGCATCTCTCGGGGGACACTGAGTACTTCACTGGAATGGCCGAAGGCTTGAGCAGAGTCTCGACTATCCAACGAGAATAACCGACCATGTTGGATGTCAGTGGCTCTTGCGGGAATATGCGATATCACGATACCCTAACTCCTCTTCGTGGATAATGCAGGACTGGCTCGGGTATAGTGATCAGGCATGAGATCTGGACCTACAAAAGCTCATGCTCCGATGCAAACGTTCAGAACATCGGTCCATTGACCGACAACAAAAGCAAATCCTGGAGCACTGGACATCGATGATCTGTTACTTCTCTTATCGATAGCGCTAAGACTATGTGTTACTTCGGCTATTTGGGCACTTGATCCGTAAAGTTTTGAAGCGAGTTGCAAAGACTATTTACTAAAGGGACTGCCTGCTTGCGCAACATAGGCCGATATGCCGGAGCAGATTAACCAACTTACAAGCGACCAGGATGAGGCACTATCTACCGACGCCTAACAGTCATCCGGTCTATTATCAGATAAACGCTAGGCCAAGCCCTTCATCAACGAAGGCAAGATTCCCCTCCATGCCAATGTATATATACTTAAGTTGTTGATAAATCGAATATCGTGTCTACTAAGGGGGCAGTCCTGAGCGTGGCAACCCAGGAAGTATTTCGCAGCGTTTATATACTAACAAATCTTACTAACAATCTAGGAGGTGGTATAAGGTATAGGCTCTAGGGTAGGTATAGTATAATATAGGGTAATATAAGCTAATTTTTACATAGATCTATTTTAAACTCTCCTTAATACCTCTATCTATATCTCTATATATTTATATACTATATAATTAAGTTATAGCTCTTTATTTCTAATATACTTAATATATTAATTTTTAAATAGATTTATTTTAAATAAGTTACCTTTACTTATATTATAATTATATATACTACTTTATTTTAATATAGTAGTTAAATACCTATACTATATAAGCCTACTAGTTTATATTTTTAAAAGTATTAAAGAAGAAATATATTAACTAATTATAGATTTACTAAGCTCTATATTAACTCTTATAGTTTCTATTCTTCTATCTCTAATTTAATAGCTAAATTTATTATAGATTCTATTAGATCTTATACTAATTTAATATATTAGAGTAATATCTAGACCTACCTTCTATATAGATGTTACGAATTTCACTCCTACGCACAGATCACGTGTGGGACCCCACTTCTCGCTACCAATCAAAACAGGATCATTCGGATCTCACAATGATCCTCATGATCCACGAACACAGATCATTGCCAAGCCTCAATGATCCATTGGTATATATACGCATTCATTTCTTAGATAGAAACACTCCTTTAGACAGTTATCAATACAATCGTCTACGCCCTTATTGGAACTAGCTCTACAATACTCGCACATTGACAGTGACTCGCATTGCACAGCCTACGACAACCTGATCGCGCCACTCAGAACAACACTCTGATTGGTTCAACCCTGACCTACCCTAGACCCCCGTCCAGTGTAAGTCGCCCAACCATCACAATAGAGAGAACTATAAATCCTATCTAAGATACTAGATATAATATATATATAAATTTTATAATAGATATATCTAAATTAACTAAGTATAATAAAGCACCTTCTATAATTTTTAATATATAGTAAATAACCTCTGAAGCTTAAGGAAGTAGTTAATCTTCTTACTATTAATCTATTAAGCCAGTCTATATTTACTCTGGAAAATTAAATACTAATTCTAGAGGAAATTATTTAATACTACTCCAGTTTAGTTATTCTTATATATAAAGGGAAATATACTAAAATACAGCTTACTTACTTTTCAGTAAAGGAATATCTCTTATTAGATTAATTAGAACTAAGTTTAGCTAAAGAACTTAGTAAAATACCTATAAAGACTAGTATTATTAATATTTACCTCTCCTATCTGCTTACTATATATCAGTTATACTTACTATAAGAAGTAAGAAAATATTATTATCTGGCAGAGTTCGATGATTCGGATGAGTTCTATAATTCGGATAAGTTCTATGATTCGGATGAGCTTGAAGAGGGCGGGAACCAAGTTCTTTATTATGCATCCCTTTGGGGTTTGCTTTATTCTTCTACTTTTCTCCTTCAGAACGGTGCTGATATCAACGCCCAAGGTGGAGAGTATGGCAATGCTCTTCATATTCGAACTAGATGATGTGTTGACTCTCATTGATATCGTTGACCTTGTTTTTGGTCACTTCGAGAGTCTTGAGGATATGCTTCTTCAAAAGGTATATATAAGAATATATACCCTTAGTATCTCGTTGCTAATATATACTAGACTTCACCCTCTAAAGCGGACTATGGGGTAGTTCTATAAGATATATATAGCAAGGGAGCTGGAATTTTATAGACTATATTAGCTACACAGAATTACTAGTAGATCGCTTCGCTTTAATCTTTTCTTACCCCCTATGAGAAATCTTAGTGACTCCTCGTTGTATATCCTATGACTATAACCTCTCTTTACTGAGCTTTTATCCCCTAACCTAGTAGCTCTCTCCTTCCCTCGTCTAAGCCACTCGAGCTTATATTTAAGTAACCCCTCTTTCCCCCCTTTCCCCTATCCTCTAGAATCTCAAAGTTATAATTTAGGTATTAGCAGAGTATACCTTATATTATCAGAGCTGACTATCAGTAACCGGCTTTTTAATACCCAAATTCCGGTGGAGCTATTAAGCCGCCTAAGGAGACCCCAATCTTGCTATATCTGAAGAATCTTATTTTCCGTGAGATTGCTGGCTATATTATAGTGAATCTGGCTCAAACAAATAGTTATCCCTATAGCTACTATCACCTCTATTGCGATAGATTCTTCTCTTTCTATTCTCTATACTATAAAGCTTTTATTAGAGCGGTCTATAACTAGCTTAAAGTCCTGCTCTGTATTTTAAAAGTACTAATTTCAGATAATAATAGATTCATATTAATAATATATATACAGGGCGGGTGATCTAACAGCTATATTTAGTTATAATCGCTACAGTTTCTCTTTAAAGTACTATTATAGCTTATAGGGGAAGTATTAGTTGAAAGGGGAGGGGTAGCAGAGTAGATTAAATAGCTAATATGGCCACTAAGTGTTTGCCAGTGTGGTAAAATCCGTATAGGTGCTAATACAGGGTGGTCGGTCGGGATATTGTGGTAAACCTAGGCTAGCTAGATATAGTGCTCTGCTATATTAGAAGCTATTTCGAGATCCCGGCTATTAGATAATATTATTATTCCGCCTTTTAAGTCTCCCGCTCCTGGAAATAATAGGTATTATTAAAGGTCAGAACTTTTACAATAGGCACTCTCTTTAGATAGACTTTGAATAAAATAAGTATTAAGGTATAAACTTAGTAAAAGAGTTTAATACTATAGGTGTATATATATATATAGGAAAGGATTTTAACCTCAGTTCTAAAACTATCTATTTCGCTCCTCTTAGTACGCTATAAATATAGAAATAGGTATAGTAATATACAGTTATAGTATCTTGCGAGGTAGAGCTATCTATAGAGCGGCTTAGCTTTACTATCTCAGCTGTTATTCCTCTAGTATTTACTGATAGTAGTTTGAAACCAGACTATATTATATTATCTACCCGCCAAGGCTAAAGGCCGTCCACCTTACTATTACTCAAATCCGGTATATACTGAGTAGCTAATAGGGGTCCAAAAAGTAAGCCTAGCCTGGGCAGATTACTATCCTGGTACTATTCTTTGGCGGGTAATTCTTCAAAGGCTGAAGTAGAAATATTGAGGGTAAATTCAGTGAGAGCTGTTCTATTCGAGCCCCTGTGAGTTAGTAACTCTTAAGTATAAAACTATCTATAAATTACTAGACTTCAGAATTATCAGCTAATACTAATCCTTATCTCTTATCTCATCCTTATAATTCTATAATTCTATAAATAAAATAGATATAGAGAGTTTCGGCTATAAACGTAACTATTAATAGTTTAGTACTAGAACAAGCTCTGTGAAGGTGAAATCCAACTGTGTACATTTTCAAGAAACGAGAAATAGCAACCTATATACCTGCAATTACTACAGGGTCAGGGGGGTTACGAGGGCGTGAGTGTATTGCTTGAGAGAGACAAGTGGGCTTATATTTGACTGGCCTACTATCTATCTCCCTTCCTTCCTCCTCTCCTCCCCAGCTGTATGTGTAACAGATGAACTTCGTGTATATACATGTATATATATAGATAAGACAAACTACATAGTCAACTAGTATACATTAGAGATAAAGCAGCCACAATATACGCCACATACTTCACGTGCTTCAGAGTGGCTCTCAGCCACAATGCCATCCATATTCTAGGACTAGTCCTGTTTCTGGTCGCCAGACTATGAGGTTGAGGTGGGCTAGCCCATTGAGCAGGCTGGCATGTTATGTGCTAGCCTATTGATCAGGTTAGCCCTTCCAATGGGACAGCCCTTCCAATGGGACAGCCCTTCCAATGGGACAGCCCTTCCAATGGGACAGCCCTTCCAATGGGACAGCCCTGCTAAGGATAGCCCTTTAAATGGGATAGCATATGATGGGATGGCAATATCTAATGGGACAGCCACTTCCAGTGGTGATTCACGTAATACGTGCGAGGGCATCTGTGTACGCAAAACTTGCGTACTCCAAAATTCTCTTGCGCAGCTTGCTGAGTTGGTAAATAAGCCTAGCACTCCAGGCTTTAGCACTATAGGCCCCATAAAGCAAACACGCCTAGGCCCCCGTAAGCAATAATCGAGCAGCCTTGATGGTTCGACGCCAGCAAATACGCTGATGCCAACGGCAACGATCTCAGAAAGGGTCGCCGGATGCGCTACAGCCTCGAATTACGCCGAGTAATATCGAATCGCCGAAAGTTCGTAGCTAATTGATATGAGCCCTACCTCAGGCTTTCAATTTTTATCAAGAGAGTTTGGTGGCAATTCGTATCTTATTAAATACGATATAAACAACCACTAGTCAAACTAATGGATACCCTGAGCACTCTCTCACGGAACACGGCAAAATGACTAAGGTAAGCTTTAAGAGGTTGCAATAAAACGACAAGAGTATGTAATAAACTTAATTCTTATCAAGGAATCGACTTTGAAAGTGGCACAAGTTTAGATTAAACCTTCCAAAACTACCAAATTGTGTAACTAAAGTTTACAAATGTCAGCAGGATACATAACATAGAAGATAAAAATTTTATACCGGCGGAGGTATCGACCTAATTTTTAATCTGAGGCTCGTATATATCGTCACTTTAATTATTTACTGCTTGCTAAATTCTTAAAGAACTCACTCTTTTAAGACCCTTATCTTCTCTATTTTGATTATTTCCTCTTTTAACTTAAATATTATAAGCCTAGATTATATAAATAGAGCTAGGGCACTGACTTAATGTCTACTTATATATATATATACATTTAGTAATAGAACCTCCCAAATTATATCTTCTACTAGAAAAACGAAGGTGCTACAATTTGATTATTTTCTGGCTGCAAAGGAAATTGCCGTAACTTACCAGTTCTCTCGCCTATGAATGAAAACGCCACAATTCAATCACTTTTCAGCTGCAAAGGAAATTGCCACAACTTACCAGTTCTCTCGCCTATGAATGAAAACGCCACAATTTAATCACTTTTCAGCTGCAAAGGAAATTGCCACAACTTACCAGTTCTCTCGCCTATGAATTAAAATGCCATAATTTAGCAATAGTGCAATCTAGACTGCATTGCTTCAGAAGAGGTGAGAACAGCTTAAAACCCCGGTGGTTAGCTGTTAAGAATATTATACATTATTATATAAGTAGTTTATATCTATATAGAGAAGATTGCCCGGGATTATAACTATCCTATCTATTAAAACTTTTGCTAAAGTCACTGCCGCTACCAGGCAAAGCCTATATTTCACTTTACATTCAGAAAACAACTTTATTTCAAATTTCAATTGTTGTTTATTTTGCCTCCAAGGATGCATTCTAACATGATAGTTATATTGTTACTTGCCTCGGCAATTAGTTTTATATCTGGGCTTCTACCTGATAATCCCAATCCGACGACAACTACTACAATCCCGCTCGAAAAGCGTTACGCCCACTCTATAATCGGAACGTATATTACTAGCAACACATGTAAACTTCTTCCTAGTTAAATTTTCAATTCAATTAAGAAAATGGGCTAATAATTGCTGGGTGATTATAGATGCGACTTGGGGATGCCTTCCAGGGTACGCAGCAACTAATCAAGAAAACTATGTGCTTTGTTATAACACATCCTACGATCCTAATACAATAAGCGCTTTCACTGAATGTTCAAATTCATATGCCGTTGCCGCTACAAATTCAGCAATATGGTATTCTTTCTATAAACAAGACCTTTATATCTACATACACTGATATGTTTCAGCGATCCTGCCAGTACCTGCGGTACTATCCTAGTGCTACCCTCTCCCGGTGCCGCTGACACAAATCTATTGATTGGCTGTAATATTGACGCACCGCGTACCCTTTACTCAACACCCCCGCCCCTTACCTCAACTACTTCAAGTTTAGAAACAACTACCCAAATAATTATCACGACCACCAGTTCAACTCCACCTCCACCTCCGCCACCGCCACCAAGCCAAGCATGGATTGCAGGAGCTGTAATTGGTGCGGTAGCGGGGGTTGCTCTCATCGCCGCTCTGGTCTGGTTGCTTCTTCGAAGAAAGCGACAACAAAAGGCAGCAGCTTCGGGTGGAGTTAATTCGCATAACCCACCTATATCATTTGTTGGCCCGACAGATATCTCGCAACAAGTGTCACAAGCTGCCCCTGAAGAGAGCGCTGTATACACCCATTCTACCAGAAATGGGGGGAAGTGGCCATCGCAGATGAACTCCCCCACCATGTCCTCGCAATCACCCCCAATTTCTCAACCTCCCGGCCCATCTAGGACCTCGCCCTCCTTGCCCGGATATTATCCACCACAATCCCAGAGGCAGGCGCCATTTCCTCCAAGCGAACTTCCAACGCAACAGTATCGTCACCCATCTGAGTTAAGTGGAGACCGAGGTACATAGGGTCACATCTTACTGATTGAAGGGAATAACACTATTGTTTATACGCTCGCTTGACATGAGGCGTAGGTTGTTGATGTATTTGTTTGGAAAACTTTCAATTTGTGATACCGTAATACTCTGCTGATAATATGGTGCATCGATAATACTTAATGTGGGAAGATAAGCAACGGTGGGCTCAATCGAAGGCCATCTCTAGCAGTCGCGCAGTTATTTCTGGTATAATTTATAGAGAGAAATGCTATTAGTGAAAATCACCTTATTCTTTCAATTGGTTCTTTGCAATTGGGATTACTAAGATGATATACATTGGAGACCGAGAGTGACATGGCCCAGGTCCGTAGGTATATCGTTACAAAATTCAAAGCCGTCAGATACCTGCCCCTCGCATGTCGAGGGGTCAGGTAGCAGCGAGGAATTGGAAGACTAACCTGAGCCTTAACGAGCAAGCACAGGATAGTAAAGACAGCAATAGTAATACGAAGAACGGAAGACTTCTTTATTTATAAGATTGATTTGATTCCATTTGAAGATAATACACGCTAAAATGTTGTGGACTTCATGAAGGTTTCCATGGGCTTTATAAGTAAGGGATTGAGGTAGAGAATCGTTTGAAATGGCTCTGCAAACTGCCTAAAACCCAGTTTGGATCCAAAACGCAGACACTCCAGCAAACTAAACCGTAAATTATTACCTCAGCACCACTGAAAGCTACTTCACGGAAAATTGGCACACGAATCTCAGCTGAATTTTAGGGGACACTTGTCTTTAAGTGGTGGCATTTTACTAGTACGGCTGAAAATCATGTGATTTTGTGGCACGAGAGCCAACATTTCCAAGGCTTCCAGCATTTATTTATGTTGTCGGCTATATCGCACGCATGTACTAACTGAAGAAGGTCGAGACTTTATGGTTCTATTTCAAGTCGAACGGAATCATAGCCTGACTTTCCCTGGACTAAACTCTATGTAAGGCGTTCAACGGTCTGCAAGGTATAGATTTAGGAGGGGTAAGGACCCTCTCTCAAGGACTCAATTCGAGGAAGTGCATCGCGATAGCAATGGCGGTTCGAGAACATTCCTGATCTAAAAACTCAGCTGTGCATACTACCAAAGTTTACTTCTGCCTTCCAATTAGCGTTTACCAGGGATAACTTCGGCATACCTCCTGTCGCCCAGAATTTCGTTGACATTGAGACCTTCAAGGAAATTCTAAATTTGGGCGATGAGGGCTCAGAACGAGAATTCTCAAAAGGGCTTGCCTTTAGTCTTGAAAGTAGATTACAAAGCTGCGAAGGATTGGTTAATTAATTTTTTTGGGACCCGGAGACTAATATACAATGCTCCGCGCCGAAAGTTTTCTCCCTTGTCTCAGATGCAATATGGACGCGCTAAACTAACGCGTATCTGACAGCGCCCATGATGGCCGCGGAATTTCGGCGGAAAACATTTCAGTAGCGCTTGCTCAAGCTATCCACTTTGACCGCCAGGGTGCCTGGCGATTGCCCAACAGGCATTCTCACTACTTGGAAAGGAACTCATCGATCTTGAAGAACCGAATGCTCATGGTATTACAGAGCATGACGCGTCACTCACATGGGAGGATTTCCCTGGCGACAGTCTCCATGTTAACATTGACCAACTCAACGCACTCCTTGCCGACACATCAGATAGCTACCTCAGCGTTGCCTCCCTGGTTAGGAGCCGCAACCGAGTTGAAGCATTATCCCCTCCCCTGACCGCTGCCTTCAAGGGACAGTCACTGGGCGAGGCAGCGCTCATCCTCATGATCATGAGCCAGGACCCTATCCCTCCAACAGGTACCGCTGAAGACTATGGACGTCTGCGGGCACCAAAAGATCGCGTTTCTTTGTGGTTGAGCTACGAAAGGCTACCTGTGGAGGCAGGGTGGAGTGCACCATCCCACCCATTTTGGCCTCGACATTGGGCTTGATCGGCGATGCGATTGCACTTGCTCAAGCAAAGTAGTAAAGGTCTTATTGAAAGTTTTATCTCTGGGATCTTGATATAATAGAATAATTAGTGAGCCTTGAAATTGAACGACTGCAAAACATATCAGTATAACCCAGCCCGGGCCAGATAGGAAAATATACTATTGGAAATATCACTTAAAAACTTTAGGATATTCTGTATAGTAAGATTAATACTTTATACTATAGAGTATAGGTAATATATAGTAGTAACCTCTACTATATTAGATATTAATATTAGATATTAATTAAAAATAGCTTATTAGAGGATACTCCTTAAATCTACTATTATATAAGAAATAGATTTAGAGGTATCCTATATACTTACCTTAGGATATAGAGAAAAACTATAATTAGGTATTAATAAGGGTTAGTTAAGGCTTTATAGTCCTGAATAAGAATAATAATATACCTCCTATACTTTGGGCTAGTATATATTAACCCCTCTGTTATATTAAGTACTATAAAAAAAATACTAGAAGTATAAGTAGGATAAGTAGAGAGAGGGGGTATAGTAATAAGGAAAGCTGGATTTTGAATATATAAAAATTCCGAGCACTCTATATATAGCTAAAAATCGCTTTAGTAATAGCTGAAAAATAACTATTAGGCGAACTAAAATAGCTATTCTTCAGCTATTAGATTATACTACTAAAGAGTAGTAGTTATTAGCTAATTATAGGATACTCTAAATTCTTATACTATTATTTCTTATTAGTCCAGAAGGGCCTACTAAGATTTATTATTATTTCTATACTATAGGATATATTATACTATTTACCAGCCGGATCTGTAGTTATATTTATTAGTATAGCCTTTCCTGGTTAGACTCTGAGGTTAAAGAGTTCTCTACTATATTTAGCTATAAGTAGGGATCTACTGGAATTAGACTACCTATTCTTTACTCTAGAGCTTATCTGGAGCCTGAATAAACTCTACAAGATATATTATCCGGATAGGCTCTTAGGTCTTAAACCTGGCTATCAGTACTAGCCCTTTCTGATACCTGTAGGAAAGTATAGGCCAGGGCCTGTTTAAGATTATAATTAGATAACTTAGGCTCCCTGTTACTAGAAGTCTAATATACCAGCTAAACTTACAGAGGTATAAAGCAATAGATAATAACCCTGAAAAATTATACCCTGGCTCTTTATTAACTCTCCTAATCTCTCCGCCTAATAATATATCTTTCGTTAGAAGATAGTAACCACTTTATTATACTTTCTTAGCGGTAAAACTAAAGACAGGCTATACTGTTCTATCGCTCCCCCAGGAATATATACTAAAAACCTATAGTTAGAAGGTATATTTGGGTTTAGAACTAATAACTTGATGCCTCTATCCTATTATCTGGTTAAAGTCTGGCAGTAAAAGCTTGTTCGCTGCCCCTTGCCGAATGACGAGCGGGCCGGCTCTTGAAGAAAACTATAGACGGCATGCTGCGGTCGCTTGTCTTCCAGCTTTATCGAGGGGGGACTGATTCTGCGCGTGTTCTCGACGCCTTATTCTAAGCACATTAAGATAGCCCCGACTAGCCTTTAATAAAAGCGCTCTCAGATGCTTTGTTCACGATGCTCATAGCTTAAGAGCAGGTTATTATCATTCTGAACGCCTTAGATAAGTTAATATTAAGGGATAAGCTTCTCCACTAGATTAAGAATATAGTATCCTAGTATTATAAATCACATTATTACATATTAAAATCATATAGACTACCCTACTTTTTCTAACTAATTACTAATAGATTATTAGGATCTTATAATAATCCCTATAATCCAGAATAATAGATTATTACTAAGTATTAATAATCCCCTGGTATATATATATATTTAATCTACTAGACAGAATACTCTCTCAGATAGTTATTAATATAATTATCTATATATCTATTATTACTAGCTCTATAATACTTATATATTAATAGTAACTTATATTATACAGCCTATAATAACCTGATTATACTACTCAGAATAATACTCTGATTAGTTTAATCCTAACCTACCCTAGACCCAGTCCAGTATAAGTTATCTAACTGTTATATATTAATAACTCTTATTCAGCTAATTACCTTATCTTAATTACTATATAATAACAAAGAAGATATTATAGCTACTACAGTTCCTCCAGCCCAGTAATAGTATAGCCCTACTGCTGCTAATAACCTACCTGCTCTAACCGTCGAAGATACTATAGATAAAGATAGCAGTAATAGCAGTAGCAATAGAAATAATAATACTAAGATTAAGCTCCTACAAGCCCAAGTCCTCTAGCTTCAGGAATATCTTATAACTATATAATAAGAAATAGCTACTACTACTACCCTTATAGAATAGTAAGCTGCTCAGAATATTAACCTTTAAGCCCAGACTCAGGCTATAGCCTAAGGAAGGGAGCTAGGAGTACTATTTAAGCTACTACTACCCGAGATATTTAATAGAATCTAAGATAAGCTTTAAGGCTTTATAATCTAACTTTAAGTATATTTTAACTATTTCCCTATTACTCTTAATAGTAGTAAATAATAAGTTATCTATATCTACTTATAACTCAAGGGAGCTATACTTAATTAGTTTAAACCTATTATAAGGGAATATCTTAATAGATAAGAAAGCTAATAAACTATTAATATTATAATAAGTTTTAACTACTTTATAGATACCCTTTAATAGATATTTAGAATCTAAGATAAGAGATATAAGACTGAATATAAAATTAATAAACTCTTTCAGACTGAACCTATCTTTACCTTTAGTAGTAGGTACCTCTAGCTTTTAGTAAAAACTAGATAGGACTAGAAATATACTATATCTTACTACTTTAATAGACTAAAGGAAGAAGTCTAGAAGGAACTCTATAAGGAAGATAGGCTAGCTAGTATTTATAAATATATAACTATAGCTATAAGAATTAATAATTAATAGTATTACTAGTGAACCTGTAGTAAGAGAATAACTTACTATACTAATACTAGTTAATTATAATAGTAATAATAATCTATAGTCTCTGGAATATATATAGGTTCTATAGAACTAGGAGCTATAGAAAAATATAAATATTATAACTATAATAAAGTTAGATATATTTTACCTTAATACCTAAAACCTAAAAAATAAAAAAACTAAAAACCTACTAAAGAAGGTAAGAAATAGTTAGGAGTAACTAGGAAAACTAAAACTAAAATACTTAGAATAGTCAGAAAGACTACTTAGAAAGGGAACTATATAGTTACTATTCTTCCTATATTCTCTAAGAAGCCTATACTAAGCTTCTATAAGATACTAGAAACTAGTAAAATACTAATAGTATCAGAAGGGAACTATTAGTATATTATAAATATCCTCTAGAAACTTAAATAGAAGTATAAGGATAAAAGGGATATTATAGATCTCAGGCCTCTTACCTAATATAAATATATATTTTACTATATTAATAGACTTATTAAATATACCCCCGAAGAATAGGAATAGTATATATTTACTAGAGATAAGATTAAAGCTGAATATAATAAACTCTATACCTACTACTGATAGAAGATATAAATATAAGATCTGGAAAAAGTATTAGGGATAGTACTATATAGAAGAGATATTATAAATACTATATACTACCCTAGTAATAGATATAAAAACCTAATCTATATAAAACCTAGTAAAGAATATAATTATAAGCTAGAATCTTAGATAATATATTATAATATATAGTATACTATATACTAGTAAGAAAAAGTAATAAATAATTTCTTTCTATTTCTAGACAGAAGAATATCTATAAAATATACTATAGTATAAATATAATAGTTTACTAACTAATACTATAGAATAGGATCTTATACTATCTTTAAAGTAAACCTATAGAAATACCCTACTAAGTATATAAGTAAAGAATTACCAGCAGAATTTTATTAAGAATAGAGATATAAGATTTATAAAGATAATAAAATCAAGCTATAGTATAACTACTAATAGGCAGAAGATCAGGCAATATATAAGTATAATAGCTATATTAAACAGTACTATAATTAGAACTGTAGAAACTACTAAGAAGTTAAATAAGAAGTACTAGTACTAGTATAGAATAGTAATAATAATATAAATACTACTAAATTATACCTTAAATAGTAATAACTATAGGAGGAAGAACTTTAAGAATACTGCTTAAGAGAATAACTATCCCCTATAAATAGTAAAAACAGTAGTAAAACAGAGAAATAAAGAATAATCTTAACTAATAAAAGAGAATAGAATAAAGCTTACTCTGATAATAGAATACCTATAATAATTAAGGAATTATATAACTAGAGAATTAAGTTTATAAAATATATCTCTAGTTATATAGAAGAACTAGAAAACCTTAAGGATATCCTTAAATAGGTACTAAAAAATAATAAAGATTAGAAATAACTTTAAGAATAAATTAACCAGGTAAAAAATAACCTAAACTATCTATAATAGGGCTATAGTACAGAATAATATTAATAATAAATTAGAGAACCTTAGGAGCTATAGAAGTAGGAAGCTCTATATATATCCTTATAGAAGTAGAGATTAAGAGGAACCAGCTTATAGTATTTATTAATTATAGAGTATAGGAAAATTATATCTTACTAGTAGTAATTAACTAACTCTGCTTACTATAAAAAAAGAAGGAAGAAACCTATATAGTTATAAATATTAAAGAATTAAGATTTAAGTATAATAATAGGATTATTAACTCTGAGACTAATTATCTTATAATTAAAATCTAAGAAAAGAGATTTAATATTACCTATAACCTAGTACTATTAGGAACCTATAAGATTATATTAGGATTACTATAGCTTTAAGATATAAACCTACTGATTAACTAGTATACTAGCCAGATAGAGTAGAGGGATATTCTTATATACTAATATTAGGATTAATAAAAATTAAAATTTTATTAGATATTAGAAAAATATATTTATTTCTTAATATCTAAAAGTACT